CATATCACTGGAGTACTGTTTCAATTGGGACTGCACTAACAGACACTAGGGAACTTTTAGTATGCTCCAGCAGGGCATACACTGTAACATGCTAGTGCATCATAGAATGTATATGCTTACTAAAGCACAATGTAGTCATCTGCCTTCTTCACTGTTTCTTTCTGTTACCCTTATTCTTCTGTATCAGCCTATTTCTGTATAATTGCTTCAATGGCCTCCCACAGCATATATTTAGGGATCCCTCTATGGCTTTGTTCAGTTTATTAACTGAAAACCTCTTTTTAACCTCTTACTATGTACATAAACTCTTTAGTTTCTTCAGTTTAATGAAATATGTTTATAGCTTTTCATTTTAATGTTAGAAAGTCCCTACTTCTCCATGTGTCAGAGCCTGGATTTCAGAGCCTGAGCTCCAGCCTGAGGAGATATATCCTTGTTGCCATTTTTATCTGTTTAGCATGAGCCCAGATGTATAGATCTGGCCTCTGATATTTGCTGCAATGGGCTTTTTTTCCCCTCAAGAGCCCACGTCTGGAGACCAGGCTCTGAGACTCATTATAGTGGAGGTTTTATTGCCACATGGATGTACCCTGTGACACTTTTTTGTCCCATAAACCTGTATCTGATAATATAGTCTAAGTTTTTGAGCCTGCAGTGGCTCTGGGAAACTCTGCAAGGCTCGAGGGCCCCAAATGTTAAGTATATTTGTCACATGAGATGAGTGGCAGGCAATTGTTTCTCTCTCACTGAAAGCAAACATGGGGTGTTACTGCGGGGCTTTTGTGACTAATAACAGCTCAGGGCTCGCGGATAGATCCAAAGTTGAGACTAGCAAGGGTGATCACATTAAGTTCTGCTACTCACTTTCAGGTATGGTTCTTTCTTTCCTATCCAGCAATATAATCTGTTGGCTACCTGAGTGGTTCCAATGTGTGGTCATCCAGGACTTTTGCTCCCAGTACACTCCAGTTGTTTTAGGATGTATGGAGTTTATGGTATATACACTTTTTGCAGTTCATCAGCAGAATGAATAGAATTAGGAAATACTTTCCTTTGGTACCTCATGAGTTTACTATCTTTGCCATTTTTTCATTCTACAAGGTATGTTTTTTTCATATGCAAATGCTATTTTGGTACCCAAGTCACTTCTTTAGGTGTCTAACCTGTTTGCATGTAAACATATTTTTGAGCACATAAACTTGACACTGCATTACTGGATATGCAAATGGACAGACTGCTTTTGAACATATGACTGGAAGGGCTGAAAATTGGCAAAAACAGGCCATTGAAAGGAACAGATGGAGTTTATTTCTTATCTCTTCTCCTTGTGTCTTTGAATTGTGGAACCATGGTTGACTATATGAAGGCTGGTTTTAAGGTTACCTTGGCCCTTAACATTGTTTTGTACATGTAGAAAGGAAACACTTCAGGACTGTCTCCTTTCTACATGATTAGAATTTGTACTGTATCTAACACAATGGAACACTGATCCCTTCATTCACTACTGTAATAAGTAAATAAACAATAATAACACTATTTTACAAGAGTCTTGTAAGCATTAGTTTTAATCTATTTTAACTGTTTTCTAATGGAAGATTTATAGAAAAAATATTAAAATAACCTGAGTGAGGTCCTCCTTCCTTCCTCCTCCATCACCTTATTGAAACTAAGTAGTCATTCTGTTTTGTTATTTTAAAGATGATATTGATTATGACCTCAGTCTTTGTAGCTCAGAATTCATGGACAATAAGTGAACTACTATGGAAATGTTCCATAAAATTGTGCTTTAAAATGTATTTACAAAATTAAAAGAAGATAAACCTTCATATAAATAAAGAAAAGAAAATGAATTAATGGAAACATCATACAGACCATGCAAACAATATCTGCAATGGATTTTAAAGGCATAATAACATTAAATAGATAAAAATCAATTTCCATTAAACTAAGAACAAAGTATTTCTAAAATTATGAGAAGAGTATGTTTAAATGGAACAGTGTTTTACATATTATAAAATGGCAAATTACAAGTGTTATCAAATCAAAATTAAGTTGTTATTGCAATAAATGGAACCGATGTAGTAGATACCAGTTATTAAGCAGATATTATATTGGTTAGTTTATACTTGCTTGTGACTGTATTTTGTCAGTTTCCTGCATTTTATATCACACTCTGTCTTTATTACATGTCTGGATCATATAACTGGCTGATAAAAAACACTTCACTGTATTTCTCCACTACATTAACTCAGTGACTGCTCTTGTTCTCACAGCACCTGCTTGTCAAAAATGAGCTTAAGCAATTCAAAAAATGTTAGGTTCCTTCCAACATCTGAATGTTTGGAGGCACACAGGTAGGATGGCTCAGGCCCAAGCGCAGCACCCTTTGTGTCTACAAGCAAATCTCTCTCTCTCAGGCCTGTTCCCAAGCCATAGGGTCCTACAGGAGTGGAGTGTTCAAGCTTGTAGCCTGAAGTGGTTCAGGCCCAAAGTCCTTCAATTTGTTGTGTGGATACAGCTAGCCTCAGGCCATGAGTGCCTGCTAGGTGATGTCCTACAATCCCATAACACGGTGCTTTTACCTCAAAAGTAGCCAGTCAACTCCCAGGAAATGGAAGCAACCTCCCCTTCTTCAAGTACAAGAGCTCAGCATTTAAGCCTTGCCTTTTATTATGACTACTGAACTGCAAATACATTGAACTATTTCCTCTGTTTGCAATGGTTACCAACCAGAAGAAGTCCTTTACCAATCAGGCATGGGAGCACAGCAAGATTTTGGTGAATCTCTGATGAAAGGCCAGCAAAATGTTCCATGACCACATGTGCCAGGAAATAGTGAAGAAGATGGCAGCACTGGGAATACACCAGACCAGTGATGAGTGTTGGGGGAGGATTGAGTGGCTCAAAACCAAAGTTAGAAAGACAGGGATGAGAACCACACGTCACTCTTATCCTGCCACTTTTACAAGGAGTTTGACCAAGTGCTAGGTAATGCACTGAACATTGACCCTTTAGGCTTCCCAGCAGCCTGGTCACCCAAGATGCCCACCATCTAATCCCTAAATCTAAGACTGGAGGGATCCAGCAGGTGTCAGAAGAGGCTAACAAAGTGATTTTGGTGCTAAGATTGGTCCCTCAGAAGGCTTTGCTGCTGGAGTAGCTGCAGCAAATCCTGGGTCCCTACTCAGAGTAGCTTTTCAGCCCCTCTCCTATCTCCACAGTAGCTGCACACCATGGAACTGGCAGAGAAACTGAAAAAAGCAGAAGTTGCTCTTGAATCTGGTAAGTTGCTGGCTCCATTTTTGTTCTTGTGAATAAATAATGTGAGGGATTTCCAGTTTATGAACCAAGGCAAAAGCTTTTTTTCCAGCCAGGGGTAACAGCGTGTCCAATAGCTTAGTGTCCCCTCCAATCTGTAGCATACATCACCACTCCAGGGAATTCAGAATGGAGAATGGGAAGTGCAAACAGTGAAAAAAGCATTCACAAATGATGCTTTAATAGAAGCTTGCACATTATTCCTACAACATACCAGGATATTAAAATATGAACTTTATATTTCCTTGCCTATTACTATGCCACTCCATATGATCCTAAAGATTTAACAAGCTACCTGTAATCAATGACCTGTAGGGAGCAAAAAGGCAATTTACATTTATAGCAACCCGCGTAGTCCATTTAAGTTAATCTAGTTTCTATAGCCCATCGGTGACTAAATCATTTGTCCAAAATACAGGTGGGGGGTTGTGTGCAGTCCAGAAATGCACCAGTGGGTAATGGAGCTTTTGGTGAGTCCATATTAGTGAATGTGTTTGCATACAGTCGAAATAGGCTGTATTGGAAGCTAAGGGGGAAGCAGTATCCATGCAGACACTAATGCCTCATGATTTTTGACCCAATCTCAGGTGCTTGTAGCTGCAAACTTTTCCCATTGCAGGAGCTCCAGATAGGTGATCACATGTTTGGGAAGGACATATTTTTTGGATGCCTCCTGGGTAATTGACTAGCCCACTCCACTCATAGATATGCTGTTCAGTCACAAGGCATGAGTTTGAAACTTACGTGGTATACATGGCTAGCTTCCCGTCAGCTGCTCAGAATAAAATGTCCCTTTACCATTCTGGAACTGCAAGAATTGTTCTGTCCTCCAAAATATGGAGCAACTGGAATGACAGAGAAGGCTTGCATAGTATGCCATGGTCCATCGCTCCCTCAGTGCCCAAGCTGGTCTGCAATTCCTAAATAAAAGCAATAGTGATTTTTAACTTACCATTCCCTGTGCCTTCTTTTTATTTCTCTTCACCTGATTGTGTCCACAGGGCTTCTGGAGTTTGAAGATTTGGGGATCTCACAATATATTGATGGTTAGTGTATCATTTTTTGCCCTTCAGATTCCACAAGGATTTTTCTTCTGCTCATACTCTGAATTATTTGTGAATTACTGAGGCAATAATGTACTCTTGTATGTCTTTGTGCAGGTCCCTCGGCAGCTCGGGCACATTCCACCAGAAACCTAGGTCTCTAGCATCATGGATTGGTCAAAGAGGAAGATTTTCTGTGATGAGCTGATCTTTGATATTCTGACCATGATCAACAAGCAAGTGTTGAGAGCAGGATTCATGGCAAGCAGAAAGCCAAGATGAAATGAACAGGCAGGCTATAGAGGTGGGGAACAGAA